TGGATTTAATTTTGCTGCTGCTAACTTGGAGGATCTCTTCATTAGGCACCAAAACAGTCTTGTTCTTTGGGCTACTGAAAGTTTTGACATGTTTGAAAGCAACTTTGGACCTCTTTTTCGGAATTTTCTTTTGTCTTCTAACCTTGTTCCTCTTTGTAGTTCTACTCTTGATGCTCTGTTGCTTTGGAAACTCATCATCTGTGTCTTGATTCTTGACAGTATCAACTGGCACCTGGGCAGTGTTTTGATTAGCCTTGGTGTTAGTATCAGGCTTATTAGGCACCTGTTCCTTCTGAATTCTGTTTTTCCCCTGTTTCATCTGGGACTGCTGTGGTTCAGTGGAACTACCAGCCTCCCCTGTTGCACCCTCTTTTGTCTTAATTTCTGAATTCTGTTTTTCCCCTGTTTCAGTTTCTTCTCTTCTTTCTTTGTTCACTTCATCTGCTTGATCTTTCTTTTCCAGCTCTCTTTTCCTCTCTAAAACTCTGCAATTCATCATATTGTGACCAAGTTTTCGACAATGTTTACAATATTTAGGAACCCCTTCATATTCAAGTTTTTGTATGAAACCTTTTTGGGGAGCATTCTCGAATACCTGCCAGACATAAACAACATCAGGTTGTTGTTTAAGTAAATCAATCTCAATTCGAACCTTTGCCATGCTAGGTCTAGTTTTACCACGCGTAGCTAGGTCCATTTCCAATAGCGTTCCAACGACGCTGACAACTTGCTTAACATATTTCCATGTGTGCATATGAAAGGGGAGACCGGGTAATAACACCCATACCGGTGCTACTGGGAGGTCGTCCTCTGGTTTAAAGTCCGGCGACCACCTCTGAAGCCACATTTGTTGTCCTTCTATTTCAATTACTTGTTTGAACCAGACCACATTAAAATCATCTTCATTTGTAAAATCCAGAAAAACATTAAAGTTGTCATAAACCCCAATTTTCACATTACCTTTGATGGAGATTATCTCTTTGAATTTTGACCTAATTCGGTCAATTTGTGGCCTAGGTTTAAAGAATCTACCAACAATTGTGTGTTTACATTCTTCAGCCATAATTTCATAGTAGTCTGACGCCTTGAATAAGACAGCCGACATCCCATTGTGCGTCGAATGAGTTGCTATTACAGAGTTCCTTGCTTGTTGATTTGGGGGTTGAAATTGTTTAGAGGTTGCGATTGTTTCAACATATAAAATCTTCTTGTCATCTGTATCAGTGGTTTGTTTTGTAGGTTGGTTTGTGGTGTTTTGTTCACCCAGACGCGCCGGAGGGGCGCCGTCCGGTGGGTTCATTTCAGTGGCGCGTGGGCCAACCCGTTGGGAGTTAGCCGTTATCAGACCGTTGCCTTAGAGAGAAGTTAGAGAGAAATTTTTAGAGGTTGCAATGGTGGATTGATTGGTTAGCATGGTAGATTAATTGGTTGTTGTATATTTGAATTGGTAGGTGGTATTGCTTTAAAAGAGCTGGAATTTGGCAAAAAATTCCCAGTTTTCCGACTTATTTCCGACCATAGTAGTCGCAAAATGCATCAAAATATTCCAGATTCAAGAACATCTGGGACTACTGTAGTCGCAAATACAAATAAATAAATAATTTTAAATTATATTTGCGACCACGGTAGTCGGAACGATAAATAAATAAATAATTTAAAATTAGATTTGCGACCACCATAGTGGAAAAACTCAAATAAAATTAAATATTATTATAATTATATACACCGTTTGCGATCGAAGTAGTGGAAAAGTTAATATAAAATTAAAATTTAATTTAACCTGTTTGCGACCGCGTCGGTCAGAAACTTTAGCACATTTATTAGTCGTTTTTCTATTTTGCCTTAGCGACTGCTGTATTCGCTAATTACGGACGGATTCGGTCGCAAACTATTTCAGACCAGCTATTTTGCGACTACGACTTTTCGGTCTGAATGTAGTCGGAAATTAGCATTTTCTGACCACTTTCTGACCGTTTTTGCAGTCGCAAAATAGCCATTTTCTAGTAGTGTATACCTCAATAAATGAAAACTTCTGTTAATCGTTTTTCCTTCCCAACTTTCGGTTACTAATCTTTATTCTATTCCCTTAAATTGAATCTATTCTTCTCTAATGTTTTTTGAAGCACTTAAAGTTAAATAGTGCGTATATTTTTATGAGGGTATATTCAAGAGTTTATTCAGAAAACTAATAAATAAATAATCGTTATATGTTCAACATTTATGTTTATAATAAGTGCTATATCTTTCCTATTTATAACCCCCAAGAGGCCAAGAATGTATAAATTTATGGCAGATTATTGTGTTTTCATCACTTGATTGATCAGATTGTATGTCATCTTCATAAAGTTATAATCCAACAAATGGGTCTCGGAAACTTGGATAGCTAGAGCTGGATCTTGTGTTTGTATTTTGCAATGCAGTAACATAAAAGAAGTTATACATATAGAGCAGGATAACTATGTAAAAATAGTTATGCAGGATAATTATATTTTCCTGATACTTTCTATCAAAATGCAATGACTATTACGGGTATCATCAAGCTAATCTTTTTAATTTTCTTTTCTTTTCTTTTTATCTAGGTTATTTGTAAGTTTCCTTTAATTTTTATTATTATTAGCTATGTAAAGTCTTCATGTCTTTTTTGGACTGAAACATGAGATTATTAGAGTTACCTAGAAAATATTTGCATCACAAAAGTTATTTTTATAAATTGTCTGACAAATTTGTTAATTGTTTATCTTTCTTTTTCTTTTGTAGAATTAAGTTATTGAGTTCTAATATGGAGGAAACATCAAATGGATTGTCATGCCTGTGTTTTCACTAATACTGTTTTATTCTTTGAGTTATGTTATTATTGTACTACTTTTTGACGAATAACAAGAAATTACAAGAGAAACTTGAAAAATATTTATACACTGTCAATAAATGCTCTCCTTTTCTCTTCCACTTTTCAGTTTTTTAGTAAAAGCAGAAAATATGTACTCTTTTTTTTAAGTTTTTTTCCTCCATTTGTAGCTTCTGGTTTTTAATTGTGATTAGTCGGATAACAAGGAGAGAAAAGTATATGATTGTATGCACTTTTATCTATCTAACTCACTTTTATCAAATCTGGAGATAAGGGATATGAGAATTACTTTTATTGCTTTGCAGTTTTATAAATTTGTGACTTTATTGTCAAAGAGAAATAGTAAACCACAATGTGATTTTATTGTCTTAGTAAAATCTAATTTGTGAATTTGAAATATTTCGGTTTTTATAAGCGCGCGAACAAATTTACTACGTAGTTATTTTAATACATCGCAAACTTGGGGATGGGGCCAGCTTACTTAAAGCATGTTTGGCCAAGTTTTTTTCTTGGTCAAAAATACTTTTTTTAATTCAAAGTTAAAGTGTTTGGCTAAGTTTTTTGAAGGAAAATGGTGCTAGTGCTTTTGACTAGAAGTAAAAGTATTTTTTTGAAAATTACTTTTAGAAAAAACACTCTCAAAATAAGCAAATTTTAAAAGCATGACCAAACATGCTATTAGCGAGTCTCCAGCTTTTACAATTGAAATGGAGTGTTTAAACCAAAGGTCCAAAGCGTAAGCACATTTATTCCTTTCCCATTTACCCCTACCATGGGGTAATATAAATATTAAAAAGAAAGATCATAGATCCAGTTTCCTGATTATCCAAGAAGCATAAAGCCATAAACAGCTAATTACAATTAAGAATCATAATAAATTTCTTAACAACGTGGATAAAGTTACAAAGGTATTACAGTAAAGCAGCCAGTGTTGGATTGGGTGAAAAAGCTAAATCACTATTTCTGTGATTGATTACGTAAGAAATCCCATTTACAGAAAGATTAACGCTAGATTAGGAAATGATAATCATCACAATTAACATATTATAGTGAAACTGTACACATAAGCAAGAGGGCCCACATTAATGAGAAAACCTGGCTGTACATAAACTTTGTAAGTAACACAAAAAGTGAAAGCTGGCATTGTCTTTCCTATTTTTTATTGCGCCGTGTTTGTCGGTGGCAAGCGGCACCGAAATTAGATGGCATTGGTTTCAATTTTTATGACATCACGGTAGTGTACCCGCACGATGCGAAATTAATATTAAAAAAATATTAATTAAATTAAATTATGATCGGACTTGTTTGATTCTATTAGACCATATTGATTTAATAAATTTTAATTGTCATCTTACTCGTCAATACCATATACCCAATAATAAAATCTCTATTAAAAATTAAAGGTACTTATATAGTCATTGAATAACTTTTTTGTTCTATATTTTTCTTTTATTATATTATCCATTGTTTAGTATTATTACTTTGTTAATAAAATTTTTTATTAATATATTACTTTGTTTACTATTTTTGTCTGTTCGCTTTCTTTCTGTAATATAAGAGAAGATATACAATTTATTATTTTTTTATTTTGAATTTAATTTTGTTGTTCTTAATAATATTATCTAAATTTTAATGAATAAAATCTATATTCAACTAAAAAGACTTATACATGCAGCGAATGACTTTTTTGTTTTGTATTTTTCTTTATTATATCACCCATGTTTGAGTAGTTAATTTTTGGTAGTTAATTTTGTTTTGTCTTTTTTATATATTTTTTTTTTTTGTAAATAATCTTTGAATCTACAAATTTGTTGGAGCTTGTCCTCAAATTTGTCACTTTGTTAATTTAAATTTATAGATATTTAAATTTAAAAATAATAACTAATAACTATATATATATGGTAGTTTTTTATTTTTTATTATTTTCATTTTTTATAGATATTTAAATTTAAAAATAATAACTAATAACTAATTATTAACTAAATAACTAATTAATAACTAATTATTTCATGTGGTTTTTTTTTAAGTTGCCACTTGGCTTAAGGAGAGGGCTTTGTCCTCTCCTTTTAATAATATATAGATATAGATTGTTATCTTATGACGTCCTAATACATTAAAAATTATTTTATTTCTTTACATATTGTTGAAATTAAACATGAAGAAGAAGATACTAATCACAAATTTGATCGAGAAACATATTTACCGATTGACGAAGAGAAGAAAAGCTCCTGGTCTTCGATTGCTAAAAGGAAAAGAGGTTTGCTGTTTAAGTCTCAAAGAACAAATGACACTTCGGAATATCCGATCGATATGGGTCTGTGAGAAATGACAATTCTGCCCTCATAATTGTCCATCAATTTTTAGAAACGGATATATCACATAATATTCTAGAATCATTATAGTTGTAATCAATTATTTCTTTGTATATAATTTATTTTGTAATAGGACAAATATTGTTAGTGGAGTAGAATTTGTAGGAGGACACGTATAGGTATAGTACATAGGATATTTTGTATATTTCAGCTACACTGTGCAGAGAATGATTATTTTTTTAATACAATACACCAATTCAAGAATTGGTTTTTCAATATTATTCACTCTTACATGGTATCAGAGCGGGTGGATTAACCTGCTTGTTCTGAAACCTTCTTCAATTTTTTTCTTCATAATTTCTTGTTCTTACTCTTGTTCAAGATGGGAGAAACCGTTGAATCTCCAATCACTGCTTCAGCTGTTAGGGCTGATTCATCGAAGAAGGGAGTGATTGATTCATCTCATCCTTTCTTTCTTCATCCGTCTGATTATCCTGGTATGAACCTTGTCTCTTCAGCCTTTGATGGCAAGAGCTATGGGGCTTGGCGTAGAGTTGTTGTCATAGATCTTTCAGCCAAGAACAAGCTAGGCTTTATAGATGGAACTCTTTCTGTTCCAGATAAGAGTTCTGGTCTTCAAGGTGCTTGGGCAAGATGCAATGACATGGTGCTTTCTTGGTTGCTTAACTCTTTGTCAAAAGAGATAGCAGAAAGTGTCCTTTACTCACACAGTGCAAAGGACTTGTGGAATGACTTGGAAGATAGGTTTGGTCAGACAAATGGTGCTAAACTTTTCCAACTGCAGAAGGAACTAAGTGTTGTTCAAGGAAATTCTAATGCGTCAAGTTATTTCACAAAAATTAAGAGTTTGTGGGATGAATTGGACACATTGATCAGCTTTTCTACATGTTCATGTGACTGTGTTTGTGGTGCCAATGGAAAGAATCAGAAGACTCACTAGGACCAACGATTGTTGCAGTTCCTAATGGGACTAAATGACACCTACATAGGTGTAAGAAGCAACATTTTATTGGCTACACCTCTGCCTTTACTTACACAAGCATACTCCATGGTCATCCAAGATGAGAAACAAAGGGAAATACATGCCTCACCTGTCTATCCTGGAGATACAGCCTCCTTCATTGCTGCATAACAAGGACAAGGTGGTAAGAGAAATATGAGAGATTTCAAAGGAAAGAAGGCTGGTTTTGATGCAAAGAAGAACAACTCTTTTTGTTCTTACTGCAAGAAGAAAGGTCATGTGGCAGCAGAATACTACTGGCTAATAGGTTTCCCTCAGACTTCAAGTTCACAAATAAGGAAAAATGTCAGGGATCAGTTCAGGGAAATAATGTTTTCAGCTTTGAAGAGAATGGAGAGCGGGCTGCAGGAATAAAGTCATTGAGTCCGGAAAACATCAACCAGATCTTACAGCTACTTCAACAAGTCCATATGGGAAAGCAAGCAGCTAGTACCTCTGAGAATAATGCATATGTGAACCTTGCTGTTATGTATTTCTCACATAATTGCACTACCTGTTTTGCACATAACAACAATCAGACATGGATATCGGACAGTGGTGCATCTGAACATATGACTTTTGATGAAAGTGCTCTCTATAATATGGTTCCTGTTAGAATAGTCATGTAAATAGGAGTAAATAAATAACCCTAATCCAATATATGTTAGGAGTAGGACATGTTATGTGTGTATATATATAGGGCTCATTGTAACATATGTATATACATCAATAATATATTTTCTCCCGTGCTTTCTCACATGGTATCAGAGCTTTAGTGAGAAACATATCGCTGTGCATCATTCCAGCGACTTCCGGGAAGAAAGAACTCAGTCACCGTGCAATTTTCCGGTGACCTAAGTGACTTATTGCGTCAAAGTCACTAATTAACAGTGTTGTGCAAAATCCAACACCACCACAAGGTTCCCAAGAGAGATCCGACCAAACCCCAGAAAAAATCACCGGAAAATAGCCCTCCACGCGCCGTCACGCGCCTGTCGGAACTCTGCCGCCGGCGGCGCGTCTGTCCCACGCGCCGGCGCGTGAGGCCTCTTCCGGCCATTTTTCGGCTTCGCTTCTTCAGGACAGTTGGATCGCCCTGCAATTCCGAGCCTGTCCATATTTTTATTTTTTAATTCCGACCACTTTGAGTTTTTCCGGCGACTACACTGATTTTTCCGGCAGCTACAGTACTTTTCCGGCAAACACAGTGTTTTCTTCATCTGTCTCAGAGAATTTTCAGTTGATTCTTTTTTGTTATTTAGTGATAATCCAACCATGTCTTTGGGAGTCGATGCTTTCGGGTCTAGAAACCCGAGTTCTGGCAGTTCCGGTGTTATGATTACCTCAGAACCTTTAATGGGAGGTTCAAACTACTTAGATTGGGCTTCATCTGTCGAGTTGTGGTGTAAAGGTCAAGGAGTTCAAGATCATTTAACAAAAAAGGCTAGCGAAGGTGATGAAAAGGCCAAAACACAGTGGGAGAAGGTCGATGCTCAGTTATGTAGTATCCTGTGGCGATCTATTGATTCCAAGTTGATGCCCTTGTTCCGTCCATTCCAGACATGTTATTTAGTTTGGGAAAAGGCTCGTAATCTATACACTAATGACATATCTCGTTTCTATGATGTAATATCGCGAATGACAAGCTTGAAGAAACAGGAATTAGATATGTCTACTTACTTGGGACAAGTTCAGGCAGTCATGGAAGAATTTGAGACGTTGATGCCAGTTTCTGCTAGTATTGAAAAACAACAAGAGCAACGACAGAAGATGTTTCTAGTTCTTACACTCGCTGGACTCCCTAATGACCTTGATTCAGTACGTGACCAGATTTTGGCTAGTCCAACCGTCCCCTCAGTTGATGAATTATTCTCTCGATTACTTCGCCTTGCTGCAGCACCTAGTCACCCAGTGAGCTCATCACAGACACTTGACTCATCTGTCCTCGTATCCCAATCAGTGGACAATCGGGCATCTCATACTATGGAGAATAGACGAGGAGGAGGTCGTTTTGGAAGATCTAGACCCAAGTGCTCTTATTGTCATAAACTTGGACACACTCGTGATGTATGCCATTCTTTACATGGCCGCCCACCCAAAAATGCTTATGTTGCTCAGACTGAGACTACAGGTAACCAGGGATTTTCTTTATCTGAAGGGAGTATAATGAGTTCCTTCAGTATCGAGCAAGTAAGCAGACATCTCCACAAGTAGCTTCTGTTGCTCAGACTAATACTTCTGTTGCTGGTAATTCTTTTGCTTGTGTTTCCCAGTCTAGTCCTCCTGGACAATGGGTTGTGGACTCAGCCGCTTCTCATCATATCTCTGGTATACGGGCCACCCTTAATCCTAATCCCCATTATGTCGGTTTGAGTTATCATCGTTTGTCATCACCCTATTATGCTTTTCTATCTTCTTTGTCCTCTGTTTCCATCCCTAAGTCTACAGGTGAAGCATTGTCTCATCCAGGATGGCGACAGGCTATGATTGACGAGATGTCTGCTTTACATACGAGTGGTACTTGGGAGCTCGTTCCTCTTCCTTCAGGTAAATCTACTGTTGGTTGTCGTTGGGTGTATGCAGTCAAGGTTGGTCCGGATGGTAAGGTTGATCGTCTTAAGGCTCGTCTTGTTGCCAAAGGATATACTCAGATATTTGGGCTCGATTACAGTGATACCTTCTCTCCTGTGGCTAAGATAGCATCAGTCCGCCTTTTTCTATCCATGGCTGCTGTTCGCCATTGGCCCCTCTATCAGCTAGACATTAAGAATGCTTTTTTACACGGTGACCTTGAGGATGAAGTTTATATGGAGCAACCACCTGGGTTTGTTGCTCAGGGGGAGTCTCGTGGCCTTGTATGTCGCTTGCGTCGGTCACTTTATGGTCTAAAGCAGTCTCCTCGAGCCTGGTTTGGTAAGTTCAGCACAGTTATTCGAGAATTTGGCATGATTCAGAGTGAAGCTGATCACTGTCTCTGTATTTATCTGGTGGTCTATGTTGACGACATTGTTATTACCGGCAATGACCAGGATGGTATTACTAAATTGAAGCAACATCTCTTGCAACACTTTCAGACTAAGGATCTGGGCAAACTAAAGTATTTTCTGGGTATTGAGGTCGCTCAGTCTAGCTCAGGTGTTGTGATCTCACAACGAAAGTATGCCTTAGATATTCTTGAAGAGACAGGAATGACAGGTTGTAGACCGGTTGACACTCCGATGGATCCGAATTCTAAACTTATGCCAGGACAGGGGGAGCCTCTTAGCGATCCTGCAAGATATAGACGGTTGGTTGGTAAATTAAATTACCTTACAGTGACAAGACCTGACATTTCCTTTTCTGTGAGTGTTGTGAGTCAGTTTATGGATTCTCTGTGTGATAGTCATGGGGATGCAGTTGTTCGCATTCTTCGGTATATAAAATCAGCTCCAGGCAAAGGTTTATTGTTTGAGGGTCGAGGCCATGAGCAGATCGTTGGATACTCAGATGCTGATTGGGCAGGATCACCTTCTGATAGACGTTCTACGTCTGGATATTGTGTCTTGGTAGGAGGAAATTTGGTGTCCTGGAAGAGCAAGAAACAGAATGTGGTTGCTCGGTCTAGTGCAGAAGCAGAATATCGAGCAATGGCTATGGCGACATGTGAGCTAATTTGGATCAAACAGTTGCTCAAGGAGTTGAAATTTGGTGAGATTAGTCAGATGGGACTTGTGTGTGATAATCAAGCTGCTCTTCATATTGCGTCAAATCCAGTGTTCCATGAGAGAACTAAACACATTGAGATTAACTGTCACTTTGTTAGAGAAAAGATACTCTCGGGAGATATTGCTACAAAGTTTGTGAAGTCGAATGATCAGCTTGCAGATATTTTCACCAAGTCCCTCACTGGTCCTCGTATTAACTACATATGTAACAAGCTTGGTACATATGATTTATATGCACCAGCTTGAGGGGGAGTGTTAGAATAGTCATGTAAATAGGAGTAAATAAATAACCCTAATCCAATATATGTTAGGAGTAGGACATGTTATGTGTGTATATATATAGGGCTCATTGTAACATATGTATATACATCAATAATATATTTTCTCCCGTGCTTTCTCACAGTTCCTTTACCTAAGCCTTCAAATGTGAATTTACCCAATTCTTATAAGGTCAAGGTAACACATTCAGGATCAGTTTCACTCTTTCCTAATATAACTCTTCACAATGTGTTATATGTCGCTACTTTTATATCCAATTTACTTTCAGATCACAATCTGTGCAGTCAGAATAATTACCTCATTTTATTCACTTCTCTGTTTTATTTTCTGCAGGCCCTTTCAATGAAGAGGCCTCTGGTGATTGGTAGGGAGAGTTGTGGTCTTTACATTCTGCAATAAAGGCATTTGGAACTCATTTCAAATAAACCATCTTCAGCTAGTAGTAGAGTTGTTTTAGGAAAAAATTTATGCAATGAGAAGCATTCTTCAGTTTTATTTTCCTTTTCCAGTCATTCAGATGTACAAAACAAGCTATGGCACTATCGTTTAGGCCATATACCTTTGAGTAATATGAAGAATATTTTATCTATTCCTAATTCTTCTCATGGTAATTTTTCAGTACCTTGTGTAGTATGTCCAATGGCTCGATAATCTAAGTTACGTTTTCCAAGCAGCTCTATTACTTCTAAGTCTATTTTTGAATTGATACATATTGACACATGGGGTCCATACAACACTGCTACCTATGATGGATACAAGTATTTTCTTACTATTGTTGATGACTATAGTAGGGGAACTTGGACATATCTACTTAGCACAAAATCAAATGCTTTTCCAATTTTACAATCATTTTTAGCTATGGTAGAGAGACAATTTCATAGTAAAATCAAAGTCATACGTTCAAATAATGCATTTGATCTTGGAACAGGGAATTCACAAGCAGAATATTTTTTGAAACAGGGAATTCTACATCAAACAACTTGTGTTGGGACTCCTCAACAAAATGGAATTGTGGAGCGCAAACATAACCACCTATTGGAGACTTCCAGGGCTTTATTGTACCAATCACATCTGCCTACCCAATTTTGGGGAGATTGTGTGTTGACTGCAACACATTTGATTAACAGGTTCCCTTCAAAGGTTCTTAATTTTAAAACACCTTATGAGATTATATTCAAAGCTAAGCTTAATTATTCCATACTTAAGCGCTTTTGGATGTTTATGCTTTGTTGCTACTCTATCATCTCACAGAAATAAGTTTGATCCTAAAGTTTTGCCTTGTGTTTTCTTGGGATATCCGCATGGTAAGAAAGGATATAAAGTCTTAAATTTGACCACAAAGAAGACCTTTGTTTCAAGGGATGTGGTTTTTCATGAGGATATCTATCCTTTTACTTCTATCAACAGTGAAAAGGCTAACAAGTTAATTTTTCCTACTTCAACTGTTTTAGAAGGGAGTTTTGAGGTTCCAGATTTCTCTTCTATCTCTCTTATCAATACATCAGACAGTTCTCCACAAACAAACAATCACATGGATTCAAAGTACTCAGAATTTCCTACATCAATTGCAGGGGTCAGAGAAATTCACCTATTGGAGTCAGAAAATATCTCAGAACTCATAAAACTCCATCTTACTTGAATGACTATGTTACAAACATAGTGCAATTAACAGATGTCAGCACACCATGTTTTCTTTCTCTTGTAACACCTATTTCCTTCTCTTTTTATGCACTTTCAAACTCAAACCAATCTTTCTTAAATGCTCTTTCAAGTGTTCAAGAACCACTAACCTTCACTCAAGCAGCTCATCACCCAGGATGGCCGGAGGCAATGCAGCAGGAAATCGAAGCTCTTGTCCAGAATGAGACTTGGGAAGTTGTCGAACTCCTTCAAGGCAAAAGGGCCATGCCATGCAAATTGATATATAAGGTTAAGCAACATTCAGATGTGAGTATTGAATGCTTAAAAGCACGATTGGTAATTAGAGGTGATGTGCAACGTGCGGGAATAGATTTTAAAGAGACTTTCTCACCGGTGGTCAAAATAACAACTATTAGATGTCTATTAGCCACTGCTGTGAAAAAAAGGTGGGGATTATACCAACTAGACATCAATAATTCATTCTTACAAGAAGTCTATATGAAGTTTGCAGCTGGTATAGATCCAGCAACACCGAGACATGTCTGCAAATTAAAAAAATAACTTTATGGAATTTGGCAAGCTTCAAGACAATGGTACTCTAAACTCACGGGAGCGCTGAGTTTTAAAGGTTACTCGCACTCACTAAATGACTACTCCTTATTTTTTAAAAGGAAAGACGCTTAAATTTCTATTATAGCAGTGTATGTTGACGACATAGTATTAACTGGGAATGATACGGAGGAACTGAATGCTTTAAGAATATTCCTTGATCAAGAGTTCAAAATTAAGGATCACGGAAGCTTACATTACTCTTAGGAATGGAAGTTCTTCGAGAGCCGACTGGTTTGATACTTTCTCAGAGAAAATTCACTTTGGACTTGCTGAAGGAATTTGATTGTATAGACAAACAACCAGTCTCTTCACCTTTAGACCCGGCACAGAAGCTTCAAGCCAATACTGGAGCTGTCATCTCCATTCCTACCTTGTATCGCTATCTGATTGGCAAACTCAACTACCTCACCCAAACAAGAACGGTTCTTTCCTTCACCATACAACATCTTAGTCAATTTATGCAGGATCCAAGACAACCACATCTTGACGCTGCACTGCGAGTTCTTCACTACCTACTCAAAGACCTAGGACTTGGTCTTTTCATGACTGCTACAGCATCTTTCAAGCTTCAACCTTTTTGCGAGTCAAATTGGGGAACATGTCCAGATTCACGAAGATCAGTAAGCGCCTTCTATGTCTCACTGGGATCTTCTCCAATTTCTTGGAAGTCCAAGAAACAGGCTTCAATTTCTCTTACCTCCGCCGAAGCAGAATACAGGTCGATGCGAAGGGTCGTAGTAAAGATAACTTGGTTGATTCGACTCTTCGACGATATTTCAGCACCAATCACCCTTCTGGTTTCGCTTCACTCTGATAGCCAAGCCGCACTTCACATAGCGAAAAATCCTGTCTTTCATGAAAGGACAAAACATGTTGAAATCGATTGTCATTTTGTGAGACAGCAGTTCCTCGCTGGTCTTATTTCACTCTCCTTTGTAAGATCTGATTCTCAATAAGCCGATTTGTTCACAAAATCACTCACCGGGCCGAAACATCACAACTTACTGCACAAGTTGGGTGTTTTCTCAAACCCCTCCAACTTGAGGGGGATGTTGAAATTACACATGAAGAAGAAGATATTGATCACAAATTTGATCGAGAAACATATTTACCGATTGACGAAGAGAAGAGTAGATCCAAGAGGTTTGCTGTTTAAGTCTCAAAGTACAAATGACACTTAGGAATATCCGATCAATATGGGTCTGTGAGAATGACAATTCTGCCCTCATAGTTGTCCACCAATTTTGAGCAACGGATATATCACAGGATATTCTAGAATCACTACTTGTAATCAATTATTTCTTTGTATATAATTTATTTTGTAATAGGACAAATATTGTTAGTGGAGTAGAATTTGTAGGAGGACACGTATAGGTATAGTGCATAGGATATTTTGTACTCCCTCCGTTCCAATTTATGTGAACCTGTTTGACTAGGTACGGAGTTTAAGAAAAAATGAAGACTTTTGAAATTTGTGGTCCTAAACAAGTCAAAAAGGGCCCAGAGTCTTTATGTGGTTATAAAAGCTTCTCATTAAGGGTAGAATTGTAAGTTTAAGCTAAATTGTTACCAAATTTAGAAAGGAATTTTTCTTTTTGGAACGGGCCAAAAAGGAAATAGGTTCACATAAACTGGAACAGAGGAAGGGTATATCAGCTACACTTTGCGGAGAATGATCATTTTTTCAATACAATACACCAATCCAAGAATTGGCTTTTCAATATTATTCATTCTTACACATATTTCATGATTTTTAGCAATTTAAATTTATTATATTCACATTTTGAGTTTAGTGTGACGTTTACTCTTTATTTTATCATTACTTTCATGATTTCTTTTATTATTTTAAAAAACACTTAGTACCCCATCATCGATCATTATAAAAATGGAAAGGCAGGAGTGAATAACTTTTTCGTGTTTGATTAAGTATATAGTCAACGGATTATAATAACTAAATAATACGAATATACGATGATAAAGTTTTAACTATATTTTAAATATTACAGTGTGAAAATCATACATCGATTGATTACACGAGTTAAATTAAGTAAAAACCTGTTATAAATAGAATTGTATTTATGGTGAATGTCTATATTCTAGAGAGATTCTAAGGTTTGTTACTTGGTGGCTAAGTCACTTTCCCCCTATAAATAGAGAGGTTCTATTCTATTGTAATTGATCCCAAATCAATAAGAATTCTCTCCCTCTACTTTTCTCTGCAATACTCTTCTTCTTCTTTTATTGTTTCATAACAAAATTTACTCATGTGATATAAATGTTGAAAGTCCTCTTGTTACTGGGAAAAATGATACTACTAGTATCTTTTTTTGGGGGGTCAACATACTAGTACTATCTGATAATCTAACATAAAATTTACATATTTCATTTGAAATATGTTTTCATTTGGTCCAACGCAATGTACGTCATTGTCTCATTTTATGTTACACTTTTTAACTTTAGTTTATTAAAAAGAATTTTTTTATATTTAAAACTAATATAATTTTTAATGTTAACATAAGAAGAAAATATGTATAATTTATTTTAAATCATAAATTTTAAAAAAAGATTTTTTCTTTCTTAAATTCGTATTGAAGTAACTCCTAATAACTTTTTTTTAAAGGAAGAAAAGAAAAGTGGAGTAGTCGTATCTTCGGGTCCAACATCAATGTCACGAACAAGTGGTACTGAATATCCAGTATCCGCACCGCCGACAGATTGATCGGAGGGTGGAAGAAGTTCCGCGTGGCAGGTGTGTGGGCAGCCGATAGCTTAAAGTGAACTTTGAGTGATGTTTGATGTGTTGGTTTTATTAATTAGGTGTCGAGCAACAGCTATTGAGTTGTCCGTAGGACCGGGCATAATTTGGTAAATACCAAATTACCGTATCGAAATCGAAAATTTTGGTATTTGATATACGGTATTTTGGTATTTAATATGGTATTTGGTTTAAGTTTTTTAAAATATTGGTATTAGGTATGGTATTTGGTATTTTAAAATAAAATACCGAAATACCAATACCATACCAAAATAGATATTATATTACAAAAAACACATATTATCAATTATAACATAAATATAAAAAATCTAAAATTTTACTTTCCTTTATTCTCAAAGTTCATCAATTAATTCTAAACAAGTAACAAGACATTTCTAGTGATCAAATATTCTTTTATGTACAATTTTCTCTATTTCGGTTGATATTTGCTAGTTTTGGAAAAAAAATTTGTCAACAAACATTTTCAGTTTTGTATTTTTGAGTATTTTAATTAGGAATATTAAAGTGTATGGCTCTATGCACTAGTTAGTATTCAAATCGAATAAACCGAAGTTACCGAACCGAATAAACCGATACCGAAAGGAGAAAAACCGAACCATACCGAATTTAATTAGGTACGGTATTGGTATAGGATTTTAAGAAACCGAATACCGAAAATACCGAACCGAAATGTCTAAATACCGTACCGTACCGACCGACGAATACCCCTAGTTGTCTGAATTGGGGTACTCCATTCAATTTTAGTTGTCCATTTTTGCCTTTTCATTCGTTTAATAAACAATAAATAAAATATGCATTTTATAATTTTATCCATAATAAGCATAGTATTTTTAATAATTTTGAAAAAATAATTTGGGAAATGAATAGTTAATGATAAAGGTAAAACAAGGAAAAAAAAAATAGTCTTTTTCTTGATTTAGTATAATGGACAAATAAAAATGAACAAAGGTAGTATTCCTATTGACGTTTTGATATCTTGTGTTTCTGTTTTTTTTTTCTTTTTCTTTTGGGGATTGTGCATACTTTTGAAGAAGCACCAGTGAATTTTAATATTTGGCTGCTTTAATTGTCTTGGAAATGATTGATGAAGGATAGGTAACCAAGAAAATATTTGGACATGTACATTAAAGGCGGGGGAATAGTAGGGGCTCAACTTTCATAAATTTGGAAAAAGAGGGAACGTAGTAGGACTTTAAATCACTACTACTATTTTTTGAAAAGGTGAGGGCATGAGGTAAACCGTTTTATCTAATATGGGACAAGACATAAGTCTATTGAAATGGGGTTTTGACACGGTTACCCACAAAAATAAAACTATTTACTCTTATTTACCATTTATTTTTTTACCCATAAATTAATTACATTTTCTATCCATAGTAGTTTTTGTGCGGAATTTTTTCTTTATTTCTATGCTTCTTTTCTTTTTTTTTCTTTTCTCCTTTTCTTTTTTCTCGTTTTCTTCTTATTTTTTCTTTTTTCCTTTTCTAATTTCATTAAATTCCTTTTTTATATTCTTTTTCTCTTCATAATCTCATTTTATTTACTGTTTTCACTCTTTTTATTATTCTTTTTTTATATTATTACTAAAGAAAAATCAAATTGTGTACCAATTAAATGTAGCTAATACAACCAAAAAAATATTAACTAACATATGATACCAGTGTAGCATATAGCTATACCAACAGGGTATACAATTGTACGCCAAGAGTTAAATTTTTTTTAATTCAACTATTAAACTGAAATAATATCAGTTGTCAATAAAAATTTCAAAAAATTCTAAAAGGATCTAATTGTAAGAGTATACCGTTACATTATATAGCATACTTATATATTTTCTGCATTTTCAATTTGCCCCTCACGCTGGGTAAAAGCTTAAAGCAAATTAAAAGGGAAAAGACAAGTGAATTTACGGGTAATAAGTATACTATTATAGTATATTGTATACTATTACAGCATACTGTTACAATATATTGTATATTATTATAGTATACTATAACAATATATTGTATACTATAATAGTATATTGTTCCAGTATAACTATATACTCCTATAGTATATTGTATACTGTAGCGGTATACTATTAGGTAACTATGTTCTTCTTCGATTATTACAATATACCATTGCGGTATATTGTAAACTATAATAGTATACTGTTGCAGTATAGCTATATACTCCTACAGCATATTGTATATTGTAGCAGTATACTATTGGGTAGCTGTGTTCTTTTTTGATTTTCAGCTGAAATTTCCAACTCAATCACCTCAAATCAGCTCCAAATGCTATCAAATTTCAGTATGTACTTCCAGAAGGTATTATAAGCAATATTTAACAGCACCCACTTTGAATCAAACAAGAAATCTTCAAAATAAAAATTTTAAGCCAAGGCAAGAGCAAGAGCTAGGGAAAGAACAATCAAGAAAAGTGGAGCAGAATTGAAACTAGCCAGCAGTCAACTTCTTAGATAATCAGATCTAATTTCTTTTTGAAGAAGGATATAAGGGAAATAGAAGAACAATTTTATAAGAACAAATTACACGTAAGTCAAGAAGTAGCAAACAAGAAAATAATTCAAGGATCTGGAGTTACTAATATTAAGACCAAGCCTTCTTTAATCTTGGGTCTTCACCCAAATTTCTCTGCTCGTATAGAGTTATCAACTACCTACTAGGAGTAACCTGAAGTTGTGCCCTCGTCCAAATTCTCAGTGTAGAAAGAAGAGCTATTTTAATAGAATAAACGAATAATCGGGTAAATAGTTTGGGCCGCATGGGTAGGGGTAGTAAATAGTTTGGGTCTGGGCATTAAAGAGTAAATAGTTTGGAATTAATGGGTATAAAGTGAGATTTTCTCTATTGGAATTGGGCGGAAGCCCATGAATTTTTAATTTTTGGTATTCTATAGATTACTAATAAGATAATAGTATTCTATAGATTACTAATATTAAAATAGGATATTTTTTAAGAATTATAAAATTTCAAAAAAATATAAAATAAGTAAAATATATGTATAGAACTACTTCATCTTAAAAAACTAATCGGATTATGAAATTAAAAAGTAAAGTAAAACTTTATAAAGTTACTTGAAAGAGCAAAATAATTTGAAAGAAAGAAAAGCAAAGAAAGGACCAACACTCCCATCCCGAGGCGTTAAAGGCTTTAGTTTTTGGAACAGATAACACTG